ACACTAGTTCTGGTGACCCTGATGACCACCTCAGCGATACAGGGCACAGGAGCATTTGCCTTACATAACAGCCGCAGTACTCAGTGGCTGGGAAGCTGCGAGGGAGTGTGGCTGTGGCTTCCCATCCAGTGGCGTCACAAGCGGTGGTGCGGCCTGCACCCGGGTGACACCAAAATTACATTTTGGTGTCACCCCCTCTTAAAGGTCGGGCACTCGGTCATGGACCGAGAGCCCGACAGTGTCAGGAGAGAGAAGGGGACCCAGCGGCATACCTCATCCTGCCGGGTGAACGTCCCCTCCTCTCTCTGCCGGCGTCCATAAGCAAGATGGCTGCTGGCAGGCGTCAATTAGATGACCGCATGTGAGCGATGGCGTCACTGTAGGGTGTCACCCAACCTCCGCTCCGGTGGAGAACCGGCCTCCAGACGCCCCTGTTCCCATCCAATAAGAAAGTTGCACGGGTGGTCACATGACCACCTGCCAGGCTCCCTGCTTCATTACTGCATCCCTGCTGGAAGAGGTAGGGGACAGTTGAAGAGATGGGAATCCGGGATGCCTTAGGTCTGTGTATGTATGTATGTAATGTACGGTGTGTGTGTATATATATATATATATATATATGCATGCACGTGTGTTTGTACTTTTCTGTGCACACCCTAATGCAGTAAGCTACGTATGCCTATGTATGTTGCATTCCAGTTCTAGTAGCTAGCAAGCCAAAGCTAAAGACAGCCATGTAATTAGCATTTTCAGAACAAGGTCATAAATGGTAGACTATACGTTTCTCTCAATGCAAGTGTACTACAGCACAACACAATATATGTGTACGGAGCCAATGAGCTCCATTCACATTATCTTTCACAGAAATACACTCCATGCGTCTCAATTTTTTGCATGTATAAGGGGTCCTAATTATTGATCGATTTACTAAATTTTGGTCAACTTGTAAATTTGCATGAGAGGTCGACTTTTACGCATGTTGTGTTAGGTGAGTGGAAAGAAAAAGTAAAATGAGTGTTTGTATGTTATACATTCAAGGTTAAACAAATACAAAACAACTACAATATGTTGTTTGGACCCCAAACCAATGTTCTGTGGCTCCAAAGTTGGGCCAACTGGATTATTAATTCTTATTGGGTCTTCCCTTGATAGACAATATACACTTTGTGTGTAAGTTATATAAGATTTGTAGTAAGCAGCAATTGGTGGCTGTGGTTTGGTGGATGTGGTCTTACTCGGTAAATGAAGATGTGAGATGAGTAGGCTGAGGCTGATTCCAGGTACTATACTGACATTACTTCCTCATATGATGGTTCTCAGCTCACGTTCACTCATGCTCCCAGGAGACATCCAGCAGGCCTGAAAGGACTTCATAATCTGGAGTTTCTAGTTCATAATTATTTTCTGTCAGCAAACAATGCCTTTCTCATTTCCCTTGGAGACTAAGCTTCTTTTACTCTAATGAAGTATAGCAGGCTGCATGTCAAGAACATATTTTCTCAAGTCCCGGTTGCTTGGTCTTTGTTATGTAACCCTTAGCTATTTCTTCATTTTACACAAAGGGTTGTGAAACATAATTTGCTGATCAATACAAGGCTGAAGGAAGTCGTGGCTTTTGTGGAACTGCAGATTTAAGAAGTCTATTAGAGGACAACAACTGAAAAGCCACAGGTTGACTTTGTTTATCATGCACAGATCAAAATTTAGTGAGATCAGGCCATGATGGCATGAAGAATTTATGTATGTTTGAATGTGTAGCGCCCCCCTTACTTGGTCAGCGATACTCCAGTGCAGGATAACACTACTGTTGGCTCCTAAGGGGCGATCTACAGTGAAATGAACTAACGGGTCTCCAGGGATCCCAACCTAAAAAAAAATATTTCAGGAAAGTGCCCTTCTCATTTCAGGGAGGTGCATTCTGCCCCCCTCGGTCCGCAGGGGGGGAGTTGGGGGGGGAGAGAACACTCCACTGAAATGATGGCATATAGCATGAGAAGCAATAGCTTCTTTGCTAACTGCTGTTTTTTTTTTTAGTATTCTGACAGCTGCTGCCATCAGAATAATTAAAAAAAAACAGCATAGGAATGCATAGCTAGATTGCTATTGGCTAGTTCAACTTGCAATATCCAATAGCGAGCTGGCTATTGCACCCGCCCTGTGCTGCTGTCAGTCACTAGAAAGGGACCTGATGAAGAACTTCAGGTCCCCCTCTGCTGATTGACAGCAGCAGTGGGCGGGTGCAATAGCTAGTCTGCTATTGGCTATTGCAAAGTGAACTAGCCAATAGTAATCTAGCTATGCATTCCTATGCTGTTTTGTTTTTGTTTGTTTTTTCTGTGACTGACGGGGCCCCGATGTCAGAAAAAAAAACAGATCGCAGGGAAAGGTTTACTCTGTTAGATATAGCAGAGTAAACCTTTCCGGAAGAAAATGTTTCTCTCCCGGGGGGCCGGAGCCGCTATCTAATAGCGAGAGACTCCCGGCGCGTCCGGGAGAGTTGGGATGTCTGGGTCTCCCTGTGTTTTAACTATCTACTAAATTGTTGCATTTATTTGAAGCACTTCTTTAACAAAGTATAAGGTAAAATGAGGGGAAGTTCCCAATGTCCAGGTGGTCCCTCAAGGTCGTAACGTCAAAGATTGCTTGTTTATTCAATCAAATATATATCCAGATGCTGAGCCTGTATGGATGCGTGGTGCACCAAGACAAGGTACAAAAACCACCAAGACAAGGTACAAAAACCAAACTACTAATGAACTTCCACAACAATGTAGTATTGATAAAAGTGTCTATGTATATTGGGATCACTTTTTGTGAGTGAATGTTTTAGTCCACTTAAAGCTGGTTCTAGTAAATCAAAATTTGGCGGTCTGTTGCTGAATTTGCCAAAATTTGATCCACGGATGGCCATGCCAGCAACCCGGTTTGACAGTCAACTTTTGCAGAAGAAAAGGTGGAAAACAGCCAGCTGCGCGGTTTGGGGATTCTGACAGCTGTCGGAATACAATAACAGGCAGGGAGATTCCTCTATCCACGCTCTTTAGCATGTAGAGGGAAATGGAGAGAAATCCGAACCTGTATGCCCAGCTGAGTTGTGGTAGCGGTGAGTCCTTTACCTTGTTGTGATGGCAGGGGTCCTTTTTTCCCAGAAAGTTTTTAGGTTTGGCTTGTACCCAACATCACTAAGCTCGCTGATTGCTTTCTACCTACATAAAACCATCAGTATCTGAAGCAGAAGCCAAAATATACAAATCAATTTAAAAATAGAAATATATTCACAATGTGTCATTGTACACGTTTGTAGAACAAGCAGAGCAGTTTGTGTGTGTATATAAGGAAGTTCTGCTGTAATCATATTACCTTCAGGGCTCTGGATTCAGCAAAGTCTGGGAATGCCCAGCACGATTTACAGGAAAAGGCACGCCTTTTCCAGCAAGCACATGAATCCTGATTTGTGTTTCTAAGCTGAGAAATTTTAATCATTCCACGGTTGTTGTACCGATCTGACCACGTTGGGGACTGTTTGCTGTAATGCAAAAATTGCTGCCAGGCCTTTTCTAATCTACCTTAGCAAAAGATTGAGAAGCATTTGACTGGTTGCTACAGGTAACGCAGACATTTTTATTTTGCTGTATTTCGATGAAGAAAGCCACTGAATGCAAGTGCTGCATATGTCACCTAAGATTCCATAGTGACAGTTTATATTTCATGTGAATGTAGTTTACGTATCTACTGGGAGGAAGGGGGGAGGCTACTGTATTATGACAGTTGTGGGTGGGCCAATGTCAGAATACCCTAATAGTGACTGCAGTGGACCGGGGAGGTCCCCAGAGGGCCACACATGGGTTGAACTTTGGCCTAGTCAGCAGCTTGAAATGTGACTAGCATATGGCCAGCTTAAAGCAGAACCCTGGGGAAAAATTTTCTCAACCCAGGCAGTGGGGCTACTCCTCGTTTCCAGCGGTGTCTGTCCAACGTGCACGTGCCCGGCTGCATCCGTTCAGTTTAATTTTCTCTTTCCTCCCCTCTACTGCGCATGCGCCTGCTTCCTCCTTTACAGCGTTCGGGAGCCAGGAGTTCTTCAGCCTGGAAGAGGTAGCACCCAAGCCAGCTTGCTCTTAGACCGGCCCCTTCTACCTCGCTACACCTACACTTCAGCAGTCTAAGGTCCCATAAGTCATCACGTCCTATACACTGTGTATAGGATGTGAGGACATCAAGAGCCATACCATCGCTGCAGCGTAGGAAGAGACAGGAAGGGACTGGCCAGAGATGTATAAAACATAAAATTGGCTTGACAGAATGACAAGTTCTGAAGTCCAGCTTTACATGACTCTGGCACTAGATTACATTTTTGCAAAAAAAAAAGCCTGCTGTAATCAAAGGTACCTTTCCTGCCAACTGCGCCACCAATCTTTGCTCTGTTAGGCTGCATTTGCATTAGTGTGAATGTGCATCTTGAGGTTCCTGCCGCAGGAACCTACGAATTCCCGCGGTGGGAATCCAAAATATGTTGTTTAGAAGTGGCGGCCATCACCCATTCAAGTTGATTGGATGACAGCTGTTGCATCTATAAATGGTACTCCATATTACATGCGGTTAGGAATAAATCACTGTGTTTGGACGCATTGATTGTGCGTTTAGGGACATTTATCTATTCCTAATCGCATGTAATCATATCATACACAATTACATGCAGAGTACCGCATATAGATGCGGCCGCCGTCACCCAATCAATAACTAAAACGACAGAGACAACTTCTAGATGGCATTTTTGGGATTGCTGCTGCAGCAATTCCTAGGTTCCTGCCACGTGAATCCCAAAATGCAAAATTCAGACCTAGTGTAAATGAACCCTGAAAAAGCTGCCACTGCAGATGTTGCAGACCCCCATTTAAAACCAGTGTTAAAAACTTCCTGAATCAGATGGCATGGGATTCTATAAACAGGTACAGATAATTGAGTGGACTTTCTGACTTACTGTTCTTTGTGTCTTTCAGGCCTCAGAGATGACTTCTGTTCCCAGTGAATGGATTGGGAGTGTTTACCTCTTCATGTCGTCTGATTCTACGTCTCTGCGTGCTCAGTATGACACCAGTAAATCCTTGATATACAAGGCACTCCGGAATGCCTTGTCAGGTAGAACAACTTAAACAGAATTACATTTAGCTTGCTACTGCACTGTGTATCATCTTTTTAAATACTTGTTTTCATCTTTTTTTTTATTGACTGGTGTGGTCTACACACATGCATGCACGGACTCCCGCAACTGCTTCACGTCACCTCTCAGGAAAGGTTTCCTAATGATGACAATAGTCAAGCATGCACTGAGCACGGCATTGCCACTTGAAGTCTCCTTTGGCAGAGTGTGTGACAGGGTGACAGTATAGGAGTCAAATTAGGAGACAGGGACATGGCATTGTCACCCTTTAGAGCGGACCCCCCTCCCAAGCTAACAAACTAAGGTGCATGCACCTCTGCATGGTCAACTATAAACATCCTTAAGTGATTAGTCCAATTACTGCTTTATTTGAGTGTTTATTAGTCATTGCTCCCTGCAGGGATTCTCGCATCCACCCTCTGTTCATCCAGCGCTCATTAGAGGGGGCGGGCACAGCTGGATCTGGCTCTAAATAGGCGTGGCCAGCTGTCACTCAGGCAGCTGGGTGAATCCCAACAATGTTGTTGGGATCTATGCTGACTTTGGATTAGTAAATGTACTCCTGTGAGCCAAAGGAGAAGTAAAATTAAAAAAGGCTATGGCATTAATTTTCTTTTTAAAATCATTCTACTACCTGATCATCAGAGGCATTGGTGACATAGCAAGGGCCTCACAGGTGCCCCCTGGGAAAGCAACATCAGCAGTGCCTTGCAGGGAGATCTCTTTTGCAATTTGTTCGATCTCGCGATATTTTGCATAAAAAAAAATTCAAACATGATGTGACTGGTGTATTGGCAGCCTGTACACAATAATACACTGCATCTGCATACAGAATAATAAACCATGCATGAGATTAGGTGAAGACATTATCGGCGGAGAGCAAGGAAGAAGAAGCCAGTGGCCAATGCTGCTTTTTTTTAATGGCGGGGCAGGTTTGCAACAGAGCAGTGAGACTCTGAGGAGACAAGAAAAACAGGGGGAAGTAACTATAATCAACTTAGCTGGTTTTCCTACATACATTTGTTTAGTGTAGCCAGTTTATTAACGGGGGTTCACGGAAAGTGCCTGGACAAGGACCTTTAAAACACGATCACCCAGCCTTTTTTAAATTCAATCTGCAGATTTAGAAAGATTTACAGGGTAATTCACAAAAGGGTGGCGGGTTTGGACAAGGCAGGAGAGGTGAACAATCTAGGCCAACATTGCTGATTTGGAAATATTCTCCAATTCAGCTCACTTTCCAGTTCAGTTATGTTATCCTAGATTGTTCACTTCTCCTGCCCTCTCCAAACCCGTCACCCTTTTGTGACTAACCCTATGAAAATTATTTTTAAAGGACACAGACTGCATGAGCAAAAGCTAACATATACCAATATATCTTCTGCTGCCCACCCATTAGCATTAGCCGCCCTTCTTCTAGTGCCCACAATAGCTGATGTCTACTCCAGTAGTATAATGCAGAATAACTTTTATTGAACATCTTCACTGGGGAAAGAGGTTATAGGGATTCTACGCTTCCAGTGTGTAACAGATATAGACTCCTGACTCCCCAGACCTTGTTGGCATCTCAGTGTGGATCCACTTGGGAGGCAGCGGATAGCAACTGAACTAGCAGATGAGCAGGATGAATATAGATTCTCAACAGAAAAGACAACGGCCATGCTCCTGAAGTCCTTAGATTCCAGGAAACTACAAAAGCCATTATTGGTCCTGGTTCTCTTCTTCCGACAGCAACACTGACCTCCTCCATGTTGCAGGCCTCAGGGAAACATTTCACTCACACCAGCCTATGCCCATCCCCAGGCCTGGGGGGCAGTCTGAACAGCACCCAGCCCTAATCCATGTCTGGTCCCGGCTAGTCTCAGCACATTGCAAATCCCTCCAGTATATGTACCCTATCCCAGTATGCACCACTGGTTGAGAGAACCCCAGTGATTGGCTGTTGTACTGTACATACACTACAGTGTCTCTCATTCGCTGTCCGACAATATGACAGAGTCACACTCCGCCCACGGGGCTACAGGCAATGCCAGACACCTAGAATTAACCAGATAACTGCCACTATAATCCAGCCAGGCTGACTACAGCCCTGGCTATCACTAAATGTCTAGTAGCCACATCACAGAAGGTGATGGTGGCTACACAATAAAACTGCAGAGGTTATTCAATCCCTAAACATTCAGTATTTTGCAATTCTACTTGGGCTTTTATCAATTTATAGAAAATCTGACACCAATAACCACTTAGTGAGTAATGACGAGGCTATGTGGTATTGTGTGATATACTAAAAAAAGTACAAAATTAAAAAAAGTTTAAAAAAAAATCTGATTAAATATTATCCAATTTTGGACACAGTGACTGACTAATCTGAAAATTTATTATTTGGGTAGCTGTTAAGAATTGTTTTTCTTTTGTTGTTAGCGTTCTCCAGAAATTCCATCAACTCTCTCGAGATCCTGAAGGTTCTTCAAGGTGACCCACATCTGATTCTCCACCTCAAGTTCAATGGAAAAGACAACTGTCTAGAGTTCCTTCGAGATTACCGGGAGAGGAGAGTTCACCATCATGTACAAGAGCAGCTGAGACGTTGCTTGAGCTTGGATTCTCTACAAGTCTTCCTGGAGCTCAAAGTTGACAACAAGAAACTTGACCTGATCCTCGATGAGGAGGAAAAATGTCTGAATCATATTTACTCATTAAAGGTAATTCAGAGAAACAAAAGTCCTCAATACATCTGTTGCTTTAACACCATAATCTTTTTTTTAAATATTATTTTGAATACAGTAGGGGAGAGTTGTGTCAGTTCTACTTTCTGTCTATATTCCTGCTGTAGACATTCATCTATTCTATTTGTCTTGGTGACCATTGTCAAAAATCCAAAATGAGCAGTTGTTACTTGAACAGTAATAGAGGGGAAATCTTCGAATGGGGACACTTGTTGGGTTGACAATTGTCCAAGAGAGAATTTCCATAACTTTGGAGAGATTTCCTCTCACTTCCTGAAGTTTCCCTAGGATACGAAGAAAGGAGAAATCTCCCCAAAGGGCTTCAGGTGGAAAAAAAATATGACTAGGGTTTTAACCAGTCCCTACTCTATCCAAAACTAAAATGAAAAAAGTTTTGGATTAGCAATATTTTAACTACTGATGATACTTAAAGTAGTTGTAAAACATAAACTCACCAAACAAGCCGCTGGCAGTGAAGTGATTTCTGTGCTGGCTTCAATAATGAAAAGTTTAAAAATTGCTACTTAAATACCCTTTTTTTAAATAGTTTTTCAGTCATGGTCACATGACTGCAATTCCTCAGCAGGTCATTATCCTGGGTGGCGGGTGGGCATGTTGAATTGGGCAGCCAGGCAGCTCTTTTGTCACTACTGGAGGTGACGTAGGGGCTGCTGGGACGAGGATTTCCAAGGTAGCAGAGCACCAAGCTTGGAGGTGGGGAGAAGCTGTGCAGGAGGTTTGCACTGTTGGAGCTTTTGCTCAATTAAGGACGTGAGGGCTGCATTGAATTATCCAAGCTGCAGGGGGATTATGCATAGATAATAAATGCAGAGGGCCAACAACGCTAATAGGAACTGTAATTCCTATAGGGAAATACAACTTTGTTGGCCCTCAAGTGGTGTATGAAATGGACGATCTGGCACCATGAAAAAGTAAATTTTATGTATACATAAAGATCTATAAAAAAGGAAAAATTAGGTGAACACTGATTAAGGCTGTTTTTATATTTTGCATGGAATTCCAAATTACATTTAATCTGTGATTTACCCATGCTGAGCAAAGCAACAGATTTGCTTTAAAGCCCCCCTTACCAGGCAGAACATGTTTACCTCTCCCATCATGTCCTCCCACCGTTGCTCCATTGAGCTGTTGGGAGCGAGTAAAGTCAGCCCTATATAAAGTATAACTGGTTTGCCAGTGGGAGCCTACAAGGGGCTGACTGTCTTCCCACCACCTATAAAAGTATTGGGCTGTTCACCAAGTGCTAGTGGTATCACATTAAATCAGTCACATGTTTCTTCATACCTGGAAGTAGGCTCTTCACTCCTTCCTGCCCCTGCTCCATTATGCTGCTGAGCGAGGAAAGACCGCCATGTGTAAAGTTGGGTGTTCACAGCACTCTCCTCCCCTGTACTGCTCAGCCTCCTCTGACTGTTCAGGATGGATAGCGGTGTGGGGGCAGAGACAGCGGCGGGCTGTCACAGGAGCCAGAGGTGTCGGTGAGGGAGAGGAGTCAGCTGTCAAAATAGACCAAGCTCTCCTCCCCACACCTCCGGCTCAGCTGTGACAGCAAGTCAGGATGGAGAGCGGTACAAGCAGTCAGCGATCAGCTGACAAGCTGACTGCTTGTAAATTATTGGACATAGTATGAGTTACTATGTACCAGTTATGAAAAAATAGGAAGTGATCTACATTACTTCCTGTTCATTCATAACTTTGATATTTTACCGAAGCCCCCACAGTAAAGTTAAAAAATAAAAATATTTAATAAAAATAAATAAATAAAAATGAAACAAAATTTATTTAAAAAATTAAAAAGGCCAGAAAAAAAATTATTTTTGGTTTCGGCCTGACATTTTTTATTTTCGGTTTAAAAATGTTCATTTCAGTGCACCTCTACTTCTGACCAAAACAATGTCACATCTGATCTCTATGTAACATAATAGAATTGTGAAGCCCAAAGTTAAAGTGTGCCTTCGAGAGATTGTTTCCCCCTGTCAGTGATGCATTGTGACACACACAGGAGAAAATAATCTGTTTGCCCACATTTTATATGTAACATGAGATGAGATCAAGTTGGGTTTACATGAACAGAAATTAGCACAAGATTTACATTTTCACACGTTTGCGTGTTCAAAGATTTTTTTCCAAGCTAGCTGGGCTCAATATTGCTCATGTGATAGTCAACTGTATAGGCTTCTGTAGGCTGCCCATATCAATACAGTGATCGTTCTACTGCAGCCCATTGAGGTCTGTGCATGGACTAACACAAGGGCAGTACTGTGTCCAGCTGGTTTAAGAGTTGTTAATAAATCCAGAGAGACACAAGGGTCTGCTACCCAATATGGTTGGCAGGGCGAGGGAAAAAGAGTCATTTAAGTTCTTCACATTATATCTCTACAATGTAGATATCGTTTTTTGAGACTTGTTCACATAGATGGATCTGCCGGCAAACTTTACTCATTTTACATTTGATATTCCTGTTATGTCTAATTTAAATCTTTGTGTTCTGCAAAAAAGGGACCAAATAATGTTTTTTACAATTAATTAATCTTCTCCTTTCCTCATTTTAGTAGAGGGTTTTCCTAAAAGTGAATACCCACCTTCTGCTTGCACCACATTTGCTTATTCCAAAGAGTTATAACACACACATATGTTTATAGTGACATCAAAATGGCATGTGTTCATCTTTTAGCCAAGTTACGTCAAGGATGAAGACCTTGTTGAGCTGGAAACAAACTTCATAAATTTATCTCTGGGATCTAGCCACTCAACTCAGAACAGCATCTCTCCTACCTCTCCTGTAGAGAACTCAACTCAGGTCTCTCCACCCCTCTCCCTCTGCTCATCCTCATCAGAACCAAGCACATTCCCTTTTCAAGGACGCGACTATGGTAAGTAGAGATGGCAGCATGTAAAATGCTCACTGAGCAATACAATTTTATTTTAAGTGTGCTTTTTATTTTTATCTAACAACAATTTCCCCGATTTTCACATATCTAAATATTACAATGTGTGCAATCCTTAATTATTCACACTTTAGCAACTGCAAGCTTTTGTTTCCTATTAATCTGATTTTATTTTTCTCATGATATAGTTTAGGGATGTTCAGATACCAAGTACGGTACTCGGTATAGGTACAAGTACAGATACTTTTCCAGCTCCAAGACTAGACTAGAGAAAAACTCAAAAGTTAGGAGGCAGCTGTCATTTGTAAGCAGCACACGGAGCTCCTGGGATTTGTACATCCCCATTTGAATGCATTTTTTTTTTTTTATAAATATATATTAGGGATGCACCGATAACATTTTTCCTAGTACCGGTACTTATACTTGTCGAAGGCCTCACAAATACAAGTACTGAACGTTTTTGTTTATTGTCATGAGAACGTTTTTCTAAAACAATACAGACTAATGATTTCAGGACAGCGGTGGAGCGCCAAAGCCAGGTCCCAGCTGCAACCTCTGCAACCCTGGTAGTTCTCATGGAAATGCCAAGTATCGGCACTGGTATCTGAACATCCCTAATATAGTTTCATCACTCCTTGCAGCACTCAGGGTCCCTGGTTCGAATCCCAGTCAGGATACTATATCCAAGGAGTTTGCATGTTCTTCCTGTCCTTGTGTGGGTTTCTGCCGGTTACACCGGTTTCCTCCCACACTCCAAAGACATGCTGGAAAGTTAAATGGCTCCTGTCTAAATTGGCCCTTGTATGTATGCATGTGAGATAGGGACCTTAGATTGTAAGCTCCTTGAGGCCAAGGACTGATGTGAACATGCACTATGTAAAGCGCTGTGCAAAATTGTCGGCGCTATATAAATACCAATAATAAATAAATAAATCACCGTTGAGAATGCCTCAATTTTATGTTGGACACCTCAGAAATTCACAGTTAAAGTGACCCACGCCATTCCTCATGGTAACCCATCTAATAGTAGCTGAGCACAGGGGCTATTGTAAGCTCTTTATTGCTCTAAGCCCTCTAGAAATCTCTAGATAGTAAAATGCAACTTTCCCTTAAGAAATCTGATATGAATGAAGTCTGCCCAAATACAACGGCATCCTCTTTCCTAATTGGCTAGAATAAATATTCCTATTTGTTTACAGCCCTTAAACCATTTCATGGCTTTGTTGACTTGTTGTGTGTTTTATATGTATGTAATTTCTTCTCAGAAGACTTGATAACCTTGTATTATACTACATGTAACGTGGCTTCTAGCCATTCTCTGCTTAGGTTAAAGTGAAACTGAGCGACCGTGGGTCAACAGGAATAGTTACCATAATGTGGAAGTATGTGCGGCATACTTGCATATTGTGGCAATCTTACCCACCTCCAGCAAGTTAAAGAACTCACTTACCCTTGCAGTGGGGCACTACAAGGGTTAAGTGCTCAATTTGTCTTGGGGACACTATTAGAGTGGTTTTACTCTCCTGATCCTTCCTCCGGAGAGGAAGCCTCTTCTCCCCTTCACTTTGGCGGTCTAAAAATCGCTGATGTCATCACATCTAATGCAGACCCATTAAACTGCATTAGACGTGAGGACACCAAAGAACATTCCAACATAAGGAGCAGAGGGGAGAGAGGGGAGCACTGACAGCTGCGGGACTGAGGATCAGGTATGTAAATCTGCTTTATTTGAGTCCCCAAGACAAAATAAGCACTTACCACTGCAGTGGGGCTACCCCTAAACTGCAAGTGTTAAGTTTTTTTCTTTGCCCTGAGTTCTTCTTCAAGGTAAGCTATCCCCATGGCTGATCCATCACCATCACTGATATGTTCTCCACTACTTCTTCCAGACCCTGTTTCTTTTCTCTTCAGCTACTGGGAGGCCAGTGGTGAGGTAACGCCTGCGCATGCATGCTGGAGTTGCATTGTCCAACAACTTTTCTGAATTCTCAGCATCTTACAGATGCACCAAGGGGCGGGAATATATAAACAATTGCTAGCAAACAGGTTGTTTTTCGCCTGAAGAGACATACAAAGTCTCATGGCAAAAACCTTACCTACTAGCATTTTTTGCTATGTAATTCAGAAACATACCACATAAAAGCTCTCTAATGAACAATATAATATAGTATTGGGAGAAAAGGAACTCCAGGACTGCAGAAGCACCTGCACTTCTTGCTCCAAGAATCCAGCTCCCTTAACAGGTTTCCACTCATGCATAGTGAGAACAGTGCTGTGTACAAATTGGGCATATTAAAACTGATTCTGAGCCTGGAATGCCAGATAGTAGGACCCAGAGTGGCCTTTGGGTCCATAGAGTTCGTTATCTTAGGACATTTTTGTGATTTCCTTTGAATGCTTTTCTGATTGTCCCATAACTTATGTTTGCAGCTGACAAACCACTGACTTCAGAACACCAACAGCGGTTTGCCAATTTGGTCGGCAGGTCTTGGAAGAAGGTGGGGCGGTCATTGAAGAAAAACTGCCGGGCTCTGGAAGACCCTGTAATAGACAACATAGCATACGAACATGATAAGGAAGGTCTTTATGAACAGGCCTATCAGTTATTGCGACGTTTTATGGATGGTGAGGGTAAGAAGGCTACACTGAAAAGACTGGTGGATGCACTCGTGGAATGCGAACTGAATGTAATAGCTGAAAAACTGCTGTCTATGGAAGACATATGATTGGACTAAGTGTCTCTAGAAGGACCCTACACGGTTTACTTTACAGTTTTCTCAGATGTTTAGAAGGTGATCTGGAGACCAACCCTCCTTTTTATGTTGTACTACACCATTGTGTAGTGTCATGTGACTCACTCTTCATAAGTACATCATGGACTTTCATTGGAGCGAACAAAGGAGCCAAATTTGCCATATAATTACAGCTCGTTATATCTTTTGCGTCATTGCATTATTAGATTTTTCTTCATATTAGGTATGTGGGCAAAATCATTTTTATATGTTCAAATTTGTATTCTTTTATGAAAGCAGCAGTTGCTTACCTAATCTGTATATACTCAGGATATAGTCGCCTCCCAGTTGTGCATGGCATGCATCTAATGTCATGTACAAGACAGACCCTTCAATATAGGAAACATATTCCCTATGTACGATCTGTGTAACTGACATTCAGGATTATTTTTAAAATGCCTTTAAATAAACAACAAGCACACTTCTTAAATCATGAAAAGATATAGAATTATGACCACAACTATATGGAAAGCACAAAGGTGTCAAAGGGGCCTTAAAAAGTTGATTGAGAAAGTTCATCTTCAAATCACCTTTTGAACTATTCCAGCTCGCGCTGACACACAGACGTTATCCTGTAGAGGCAAAACTGCAACACTTGCTTAAAATTATATAGATAATAGATTATACGGGATTATACAGGATTTATATAGCGCCAACAGTTTGCACAGCGCTTTACAATGTAAGGAAGATATTACAATCACAATACAGTTCAAGACAAGATGGTAAGGAGGGCCCTGCCCGTGAGGGCTTACAATCTAAAAGATAAATTAATTGGGATGTATTGCTGAACAGATTATACAGAGGTTCCCAACATGCTGGAAAATCTCAGGGATCAACCTTAGCAGTTGTTGCTTCTAAATACTCAATTACTCCTTTTACATTACCTGTGTACTAACTGTTTAGTATAAGCGATTCCTCAATGTGTTGTATCACCTGTCAAGTCACATAGTTACCACTTTACTCCATGTGTCAGAAGTCCCCTAATGCACCACCAGTACCCAGGACACAGCCCATCATCAGCCTTAAATTAAGACACTGCTCATCTGCCCCTGCTTGGATGATAAATGACAGCACATTAGAACAACAAAGAGCCTCTGGTATGTTTCACACACTGGTGCTTGGTAGCAAAAAAAAGGGTCTACAACAAAGAGCGGAAATGCCAATGTTCAAAATATGTCAGAGGCTGTGGGCTGTGATTTACAATAAAGTTTACCATCTGAGCATCTAAATGTAATATTAGGAAAGTACCACATTATAGCCACTAGGTGGAGTTGAGGAGCTTAGGATAGAAGTATTTCTTTCTTATGTTCTTCAGCTCCATCTATTGACCATAATGCAGTATTTCTGAATGTTACTTTCACTCTGAAAAGAAAATATACAGAACAAACATTCACAGAGATTTACTGGGCAAAATGGACCCCTAGTGTCTCTCCAGGCAAAAATGATCATCTGTCTTTTGCATGAATTCAGTAAAATATGCACATTGACATTATGCTCGTTGTTTATAGTTTTAGCTAATGTAAAGAAAGTACCTGTTCATCCTGCCTTTCCTCCAAATCCAAACTGATTTCTTGTCCTGGGATGATGATAATACGATTCAGCATCTATGCAATTGGCTTATCTCCCCTTCGTTGTTGGACCCCGGAAGCAGCATCGGTTAACCAGGTATGCAATGGTGGCAGGCAGTGTGTATCCTCCACTCAGTCTGTGCAGTCACCTCTGCTCCTCCCTTCCTCCCACCCCTCACAATGGCTTTCATAAACAACGTCACTTCCCGTTCTGATACAAGAGGAAATCTGCCGCTCGTCAGGGGGCACATGCGTGGGTTAGTTGTCACATGACTGCAAATAAACTCAAACAAAATGTACTTTTTTGGCAATTTTAAAACCAATATTGAACAGTGATAAAGCAAACTTAGATGCACCTCTCACGACACTGCTGAGGCGGTTGCTTTCCATCTTCATTAGGGAACAAAATATGTTTATACTCTCTGACACAGTGTTTAATAATTCATTCATAAAATGCAGGCTGTGTTTTATTGGTTGATATATTGAATACATTTGCAATGCTAGGAAAATGGATTGTAACATCAAGTCTTTCCTCCAGGGGGCAGTATTGGATTCTAATCTTTAGGAAACAGTTTGGTAAGATAAAAGTGAATCTTGACATGCCTCCTATGTAAAGCAGATGAGAACTGAAAGATATATTTGAAGTCCATCCTGGGTGGAAACCTTAACTCCCTCCATAGAAGTGTTAAGCTACATTCAAAACTACCAATTAGGTGCATTTAGGCATTCCTGCGTCAGGAACTTGCGATTTCCTGCAGCAGGAATTCCAAATCTTCAGTTTACATGCAGCAGCTGTCACACGTTCAAGTTAATGATCAGGTGACAGTGGCCGCATTTAAAAGCGTCACAACGCTAGCATACCGCATGTTATCGTATGTTATATGATTACATGTGCATAGGAATCGATCACTATCCCTGGACACACAATATCAATGCGTCCGGGGATAGTGATTCATTCCTAACCGCATATAATCATATCACAATTACATGCAGTGTGCCCGTGTTCTGCTGCTTTCAAATGCAGCGGCTGTCACCCGATCATTAACTTAACCCCTTCATGACTAAGCTTGTTTTTGGTTTCTGTTCGTAAATGACTGACACACTTTTGACATTTTTGCTGAGGCTGATAGCTGCTGCTTGCAAACTGAGGATTTGGAATATCTGCTGGAGGAAATTTGCAAGTTTCTGATACAGGAATACAGGCAGTCCCCAGGTTACGAAGAAGATAGGGACTATAGGTTTGTTCTTAGGTTGAATTTGAAGTTGGAACAGGTATATTTTTTTTAAGTGCAACTCCAACCAAAAAAAATGTGTTTTTGCTTTGGATAGCATGGGGAAAGGTTAAACCCTGTAATGTTTGTTTTGCTGTGTGTGCCCCTGAAGATTTCACCGCACTTCCTTTCCCTGTGACAATTGGATTTTGAACATTTTGTGTTGTCGTGGAAACAAGGATTTGTGGTAAAGCTTCAGCGGAGACACCTTTTTCCCATGATAACTCTTACAGGAGTAAATTTCCCTTCCTAGGGGTAGATTTCCTCTCACTTCCTGTTGTCTCAAGGACAGGAAGTGAGATGAATTCTTTCTAATGAGGATACAGACAGCAGTAAAAACCTCACAGTGGCACGGAAGAAGAGGCAGGCACCCCTCGTCTGCATGTCTAACAAGAGCCAACTTCCTGTAATGTACGTACGGTACTACGAACCAGACCCAAAAAGGCGGGCACTCCTCGTCGGCACGAAATTACAACTACTGAAATGCTGCGCGGTACACTTTGGCTGCAGCCTGGGACCCCCTGCTGTACAGTAATAGCCTCCGTTTGTAAGTAGGGGTCGTATGTAAGTCGGATGTATGTAACTTGGGGACTGCCTGTACCAAATCGCACCTACTTGGAAGGTGTGAATGAAGCCATAAGCTAAAAATCTTTGTTTTTGGGGTTTAGATACACTTTCTTCAAGCATTCATCTAATCAAACAATAAAAATCATGTATATACACTTGCATTATATTCTATAGCAGGGCTCAAAATTTCCACTCGCCCCCTCGCAATTGGCGAGTGAAAATTCATCGGGGGGAGGGGGGCGGGCGCCGCCGCCGGCAGTATGAGAAAGGAATCTGCCGCCGCTTCAGCAGCGGCGATCACCCGGTCAGCTCTCCCCCTTCTCTTCTCCTCTGCGGCCGCTCTATAGCTGCAGCGAAGCCGTACGCTCTCGCTGACCGCTGCGCCGTGCGCTTTTGCTGACCAGTGCTTTGTGCGCTCTCGCTGACCGCTGCGCCGTGCGCTCTCGCTGAACGCTGCACTGTGCGTTTTTGTGATCGCTGCGCTGTGCGTTATTTCTGCCTTACACCGCTGACCTCTCCACTGTGCGCTATTGCCGACTTGTGTACCGTGCATTATTTCTGCCCTACACTGCTGACTTTTGAACTGTGCTTGATTACTGACCTCTGTACTGTGCGTTACATAACTGACCTCTGTACTGTGCGTTAGATTCCTGACCTCCTTACCGCTGACCTCTGGACTGTGCGTTACATTACTGAACTCTGTGCTGTGCGTCATCCTGCTGACCTCTGTACATTTCTGCAGTGTGGGACCTGAAAGGAGGCTTAACTACACTGCTGGAGGCTTCACCTTGATACATGGAGGCAGCATTGATGACCCTCCCCCAACACCCCCACCAGGAGAGGAAGAGAGCACCTGAATCAGATCAACTGTGCACTGTAAGTCCCTGTTTTTTCTGTGTAAAGGTGTCCATACACCTGACGATTATCGTACAATAACCGTGGGTGATCCCGCAAAGTACGATAATCGGCAGGTGTAAGGGCAGCGTGTGGCCGCATCTACTGTACGGTCGCACGACATTCGTCTTGCAAGCTAGCTGGAAAACCTGCCAAAAATCATACGATTTTTGGCGGGTTCGTGGCATGCTCAGAAGACGAAAGCAGCACAGGCTGGTGTGCGCAAGCGCACACTGCCCGCTCAGCATTACGATCATGCAATGATCACAAGTGCAATCTGCCTGTCCAAGATGGGCAGATCGTACAAAATTTGAATTACCTTACAACCATTGCACAACAAAAGTCGTGCGATGGTTGTAAGGTGTATGGCCAGCTTAACACTGCTGCCCTCTGCACTCCGAGTTACATTACTGACCTCTGTACTGCTGACCTTAGTACTGTGCATCACACCGCTGGCCTCTGGACTCCGCGTTGTTACTGATCTCTGTACTCTATGTCACACCACTGACCTGGCGGAGTTAAGTCCGGGGCAGGGTAGGTGGGGCAACTGGTGGCGAGTAACTTTTAAGGCCTTGCTAGTAGCTCAGGACTTGAAATTTTGAGCCCTGTTCTATAGGTTGTGTTGCAGGACGAAACTAATCATCTTTATTTACACATGAGAATGCTTCACCCACACTGGGAAGAAAAACATGTGTAGAGCTAAAACAATGAAATATTCCTCAGGCACAAACGTACCTGGAAAAAAAAGAGGAAT